CTGCTGAACTCCACAGCAGTCATTTCAGTAGCCAGACTGTGGTGTCATTCAAGTCCTCCATTCAAGATGCACCTACTTAACAAATGCCTAGATATGATTTTCCTGATGTGTTTTGATGGTAGAATTTTAATTTTTAGTCTCTAAACACTTGAATAGATCACCTTACAAATTAGGTTTTTAAGTATTTCGCATAAGAGAAGCAGGTAGAAAGCCTGCTGCTGTAGCTCCTCTTTATATAAATGATCCCTCTAGTTCAGAGGTTGCCTGTGTGATTAAGAGATTGCAGGCGTGAGTCCATAAAATAACTTGAGTACTATTATTCTTATCTGAGAAAGAGAAGCAAGTGCTTAAAATCTCACTGTACTAATGACATATTGCACATTTCATAGTAATAATTTTTGCACTTCTGAAGCGGTGACATGAAACATGATGCATTTATACTAACTATATTGGTTCCGCTAGCGTTATTTATTACATTAGATCATGCAATCTTTTTGTGTTTAAGATGGGGAAACAGGTCATATGTTTATTTGTCTCTGGTTTGTGGCTTGCAGATACTTTCTGTTACCAACAACACAGAATGTGCGAAGCTACTGGAGGAAATCAAATGTGCACACTGCTCACCTCACGCTCAGAATCTATTCCACTCACCTGAGAAAAGGGAAACACCTGAAAGAGAACTAATTCTTCCCTACCTGTGCAAAGACTATTGTAAAGAATTCTATTATACTTGCAGAGGTCATATACCAGGTAAAACCTATAACAAAATTCGGGGCTAAAGAATGTCTTGTTTTGAAATGTTGATATTGCCTGAGCGGTCATAGATCCAGCTCTTCACTAGGTAAAATCCCTATGGATATCCAGTGGATTTTGCCCAAGCAAAGACAGAATATCTCAGGGTCTTCACTGCAGATCTTATGTAGTGAGGTAAATATTTTCAGTGCTTTCTTGCCACCCTCCTATTCAGCTCTCCGTGAAACACAGGATTGTTTGTTGTGGAAGGCACCTGAAACTATTACCTTTGCTGAAATATTAGCATGTTCGTTCAGATCATGTAAACAAGTAGTTGGCCATCCAAAAGACTATTCTAAATAATAGATGGCTTTAAAATGCAAGTAATAAAGGTTGCTGACTGTTTGCTGTAGACTCTAGAAGCTGATGAGTAAAGTGTTTTTTCTGGTTTTGTTACCCTAGAAACTGATGGTTTTTTCCACGGGGTTTAAAGCCCATTGAAATCAAAAAGGGAGCTATTCGATAGACTTCTGTGATCTTTGAATCACTTCCAACATGCTGTTAACAACCAAATTCTTAACTAACCTAACACTTCCTCAGTGTAGTCAGTAGAGTGAGCTGGACATAACCAAAACCAGAATTTGACCTGTGCAGTCACCAAATGTGTGCTATCACTTGTAACTATATCAACAAAATAACCACAGAAGATGGTTCTTTTAGAAATACTGTCTTAATACACTATTATATTAAATAACATCTTTGGTATTCTCAATAGTAAATTATTTATATGTTTAAGACTGTCATTTTTAAACTATGCTTTTTTCCCTGTCCAAACACTACTTATAAATAATGCCACACAGGAGAAAATAATTAAACTGGTTAAGATTTTTTTTTTTTTTAAACTAACAACAAAGACTGGAAAAAAGACTTGATAACAGTATTAAAAATGAATTTGTGAATAGTCTTTTTTGACATATGAGCATAGCTTTGTAATATAATGTAAACATATTTGAGTAAAGGGGATAGTTTAAGTGGACAAGATTTGGAGGAGGGCTTTTTAATTGCGTGTGTACAGTGTGTACTTGTTTTCTCTGAAATCTCAAGAGTGCAGGGATTTTTTGCAGCATTCTTTTATTGACTTGAGAAAACATTTTGAATTTACTTACTTTTTCCCTTTACTGTGGTTTCACATGTATCTCAACCCATTCAAATATGAAAATATTATTATTGTCTTTATAAACTAAGAAATGTTTCTAAGGGTTTCTTAAACCAGCTGTTTCTTGCTCTTTATCACATTCCCCAAAGCAAAGCAGAATAGATCACAGTTGCCATTTTGATAACAGATTAGATATTCTAAATGTTTGGCCCATATAAGAAGTCAGCACAAAGACTTTTTTTGACATGAGTTTGTAGCTAGTGTAAATGATTAGCATATTCTGCAGAGCAAGTCCCTCATAGTTGTTTTCTGGAATTCTGTGTTTCTGGGGAAACAATTCGTTTAATTGGAAAAAGTGAAAGAGGTAAAAGGGAGAAAGAAGGAAACGACGGAGGGAGGGAGAGAAAGAAAGGGCTGAGCAGCACAGGAGCTATAGCCACAGGAACCTCACTCCTCACATCAACATATGTGGTGACGAATGACAAATTTATTTTTCTACAAAGTTTGTGTATATGTAAAACTGCTGAAGTGCATCAAGATGTCAAGTGCTTTTTATGACCACCCAGGTTGCCTTGAAAGATAACCAGATGAAAGCATAACTTTAGCACTGGACAGAGCACTGTGCTTTACAGGAAAAGAGCTTACATACTTTAGCGTCAGTTAAAATAAGATTTTTCCTACATCAATCAGAAGCTAATAATCATTCTAAATACTTGTTCTGAAAGTGGGTTGTACTAACAAAAAGTTGTTGCATACTTAGATCCACGAGCAGGGTTAATTTGGCGACTTGACTGGTACATACGGTTGTTGAAACCTATACTACTATTTCCTTTAGGTATTATTTAAGTAAGATTTCAGGTTCCTATTTTTAAGAAGATGGCCTATAGAATTTGAGTATCATTTAATAGTCTTATACATTCTAAAATATAAATAATAAAAAATAACTTACTTGGATTTTCTATTTTACTCGTGAGACCTGTATATCCATAATAATATTTACTGCAAAAGAAAGAAAAAAATAGAAAGTGTGGAAGCTATGTTTTCAGTTTAGCCTGGAGGATTAAACAAAGAATTGAATATTAACAGGCCCCCAAACCCAAGGCTTCTGGCAGTGATTCACTGTACATTTGTTAAAAAGTCAAATAATTACTCTTCCTCCATTAGGGAATGCTAATTGTTTCTGAACACCAATACAAAGGAGTTTAAGGAAATTACTGACTACAAAAATAATTCTATCCCCTAAGTCCTGCACAAATGAGAATTATTAGTGATTTAAGATAGCAAGCATCTTTTCTGGAATTGAAATTTTAGTGGTACATATTAACCAAGAAGGCTGAGTAATTATACATCAGGTTTTTTGATGAGTTAGCTGCAGAAATTCATTTATTGTTCTGTCACTTTTTGCAAAGAGGAAAACTCTAGCAGATCCTTGGTTAAGTCTTTTGAAGACAGCAGTTTGCCCACTGGTTATGACTGTATCAGAACTTTAATTGACTTGTTTAGGAATATTTAAAGAAAATGTGGACCTGATTCTTTATTCAAACAGAATAATAACAATAGCTGTTAGGATCCTATAGATAATGTCACCGCAGGATGGTGTAATGTTTCACAGTCAATGAGATTAGAAATTCCCTGCTTCATCCCAGGTGACTTTTCTCATCTGATCTTTACTAAGAGCCTCTGTTTAAGTGATTCCTGATGGGGACCCTGCAGTTAAGTGACTTAATGAAGTATCTTCAAACAATACGAATTTTAAATTTTCAAAGGTCATAGAATCACAGAATCATTTAGGTTGGAAAAGATGTTTAAGACCACCAAGTCCAACCATAAACCTAGCACTGCCAAGCCTACCACTAAACCGTGTCCCTAAGCACCACATCTACGCGTCGTAAATACCTCCAGGGAGGGCAACTCAACCATTTCCCTGGGCAGCCTGTTCCAGTGCTTGACAACCCTTTTGGTGAAGAATTTTTTCTAATAGTCGAGCTAAATCTCCCCTGGAACAACTTGAGGCCACTTCCTTTTGTCCTATCACTTGTTACTTGGGAGAAGAGACAAACACCCACCTGGCTACAACCTCCTTTCAGGTAGTTCCAGAGAGCGATAAGGTCTCCCCTCAGCCTCCTTTTCTCCTGCCTTGTTGGGTCTCCCACTGATTCTTACTCATAAACACTCAACCCTATCGTCACCGTCATCAAGCTCTAGACAGTCAAAACACTCCTTAACATACAGGGCTACCCCACCGCCTCTCCTTCCCTGCCTATCCCTTCTGAAGGGTTTATAGTTGTCCATTGCACCACTACAGTTTTGCGAGTCATCTCACCATGTTTCCGTGATGGCAACAATATCATAGTTTTCCTGCTGCACAATGGCTTCCAGCTCCTCCTGTTCATTGCCTGTGCTGCATGCATTGGTGTAGATGCACTTCAGCTGGGCTATTGATCCCTCCACCTTTGTGGGGGGAGAAGTCCTAATTCTGATGTGACTGTTATCAGGCGCTTCTGCTGTTTCTAACTGTTTCCGTGGTTTCAGTAACTGTTGCATCTTCACTGCTACATGGATCTCCATCCAGTACCTCCACTGAGATGGTAGACCAAAGGACCTTGCTAGCAAACCGTCCCTCAAACATTGGTGTGCCGCCCCCAGGCTTCTCTCTAGCGAGCCTAGTTTTACCCCTTTCTCCCTTCAAATCTAGTTTAAAGCTCTTTCAATGAGCCCTGCTAACTCCTGTGCAAAGATCCTTTTCCCCTGTTGAAAGAGGTGTACCTCGTCTGTCGCCAGCAGGCCTGGTGTTGTGTAGACTGACCCCTGATCAAAAAACCCCAGATTCTGCTGGTTACACTAGGCTCGGAGCCATGTATTGATCCACTGGGTCTGCCTCTTTCTTCCTTCATCATTCCCTGCAACTGGAAGGGTAGAGGAGAACACTACTTGTGCTCCTGATCCCTTACCTAGTCATCCCAAGGCCCTGAAGTCTCTCTTGATTGCCCTCAGTCTTCTTGTTGCAGTTTCATTGCTGCCTACCTGAAAAATCAATAATGGATAACAATAATCTGAGGGCTGTACCAGGGTAGGAACCTTTCTCTTTGCATCTTTAACCTGGGCCCCAGGGAGGCAGCCGCCTTCCCTACGAAGTGGATCTGGTCTGCATATTGGGCCTTCTGTTCCCCTCAGAAGAGTCTCCTGTAACAGTGGCCTGTCCTTTTTAATTTATGGAAGCGTTTTTGGCACAAGGCATAGGCCGACTTAACCTTGGTGACACCTCCAAGCTAGATGAACCATTGTCCTCATTATTGTTCAGGTCCACTTGCAGCACCTCGTACTTATTATGCCAGGGCACCTGGGAAGGTGGGTTGGTTACAGAGGAGACGCGCCTGCTGCGCCAGGCAGGAACTTGTTGCCATTGCCCCCCATCCCTTAAGTCACCACGTTCAGCCAGGAGGAGAGAGGATAGGGAATCCTCTGTATCATGTGTCCTGTCTACCTGGGCCTGTCCCAGGGATAGTAGAGAAGACTGTCTAATATTTATTGTTAATATAGCTAGTAAAGAAAGGCGTGGCTGATTCTCCCTTTAGGCATGAGCAGAAACTTGATCCATGCCAGATGAAGTGACATATTCTAAAGAACAAACCTGCACCACAGCCATGGTGCATTCTGCCATCCAAGGACATTGGACAGATTTTGAACTACGTGCTCTCCATTATTTTCATTTGAATAAATCGGTTCCAGATGGCTGTGGGTGAATTCAGATCCAGGCCCAAATATGAATCCAACCATTACCAGAAGGGATGCTTGATGTGAATTTTTTAACTCCAAACAGGGGCACCCCAGCCCAAAATGCTGGAAATCATGTAAGAAATTCTGCAACCCATACAACACTTCCAGAGGTTCTAACGCAGTCAACTAATAGTCACAGTCAACATAGTCAACCTGCAGAAAAATAGTAGCGGCTCGTAATGTTACTACTGCTAACAAGAACATCAGGGGGATTAACCCTGGCACTGGCTGTGTGCAGGTACATGAAATGTGTAAGTATGAGAAGGGAGCCACTAGTCACTTGAAAACCAGTAGGAAGTGATGTGAGCTACCACTGAACTTACTACATTTTGAAAGAATCAATCTGGAATCACCTCTTTGATTTAGTTTTCATTGAGAGTTGAGAAGAGAGAGGAGAATATGGGTTTTGTGAACAAATTCACAAATGTCAAAAATGCAAATCAGAAAAAAAGAAGAAAAAAAAACAACAGGAAAATGTTTCTTTTACACAATACTGAACTGTACGCTCAAAGTCCATAACAGCAGGACTAAAGCACGTGAGCCTGATTTCCAGATGCTCTCTAAGCCGGTGTAGGTCTACTCAGATGAGTGGGTGATATTCAATCCTGTGTGCAGTACAAACAAGGAAGGAGGTGAATAGGAACTTGACTTGCTGTAAAGACCGGGACAGATGCAACCACAACCTTTGAGTTGTGTATCGAAGAGAAGAGCTGGTGGGTAAGCAGGGAATTCAGCGAAGTGGCATTTGGTGAAGGTAGGAGAGGAAGGAAGATAGTGTGAGGAATAACCGACCGCAAATACAAGTGGAGAGAGGAGGTGAGGATCAGCTAAGAGCAGAAGTTTTCCTGTGAAAAGGCTTGAAATCACAACTTATTCCCACAGTTTTTTATAAAGGTGAACACAGAAAGCCTTCACTCTAACTGCCTTAACTGAAAAGTCTGTAGTTTGATTATTGTTTGCAAGACAGAAAGTTTTAAAAGCACAAAAATGCAAGCCTGTGCAAAATCTGACATGTACAACACTTAAACATTATGTTTAATCTTCCTTTGTTATTGCAGTTTTCTGTGTTAACATGGGCACTGCTCTGTCAACACATGCACAACTGGTAGGAAGTTTGTATGATATGTAAATAAAGTAGTAAGGTAGTAAGTACAGAAATTCACACAGGACCAAATGTTGCAGTCCTTACTAGGCATAGTTCTCATAGAGGACAGTGACAGAGCTGTATTTGAATAAACTCAGACTAAGCAAAATGATCTTTTTTTTTTTTTTTTTTCCCCTCCAAACAATTCTAGTGCTTGGGGGCACCTGTCAGGGACCATTCAGCACAAATACTGAACAAAATGGCAAATTCTACACCAAAGACCTTACAATCTAAGCGTGATAAAGAAAATATGAAATGGCTACAAGCAGATAGGAGAGTAGAAGCAAATGTTTTTCTAACTGTCTTTAGTGAAGCTGTTAGCATGTTAAATCTAGCATATATAACAGAGTGGTTTGGGTTTTTTTTAAATTACTGTGTGTTTTATAGAACAAAATTCCATCCCTAATACACAGGTGAAACTGTATTTACAGAGGTTACATTCCTTCCAGTAATGCAACATTTTAGCAATTTACAGACTGATTTTCACAGTTTAATTGAAACCCCATTTTTACGAGCATTGCTGAGAAAATGGAACATAAGCCTTATCCTTTGTTGGAACCTGCTGATGAGTTTGCTAAATAGCAAAAGGCAACTGCAGTGCAACGTGTACTTAAGTGCATGATAAAATATTTCATAAGGAAAACGGATTAGTCTTACATATAAGAAAAGGCATTGCATAAGGCATTAGTCAAGTGAGTTTGCATCTGATTGTTACTTGAAATGAACGTGTACCGAGTAAATAATGTGATCATAATATGCTCTCAGTTTTTCTGACTAAGATAACATTCAAGCCAAGACTAGTTTATCTTTAGTAAATAGTAGCTGGTATACTTGGTAAAGTCTAGAAATTCTTAGAAATTGTACACCTCTAATTTGCCATTGCATTTTCTTGAATGACCCACTGTGGCTAGTGAAATAAATTATTAAAGACAAAACTGTGTATTCTTAAGTCAAATAATTCAACAGCAAGATTTTAGATTACCTTTGATTTTGGCATTATATCTACAAGCCTTGGAATACTACTCCCTGATTGTATCATAGTTCCTTTTCAGTTATTCCACTTGAAATTATATCTCCCATTTTCTCCAAATAACTACTATAAATTAAAACCAGTTCCTCAGAGATGATATTTTCTGAAGCTCCAAATCATGGTAATTAAACTTTTACACCACAACACACTACCATGTGTTTCCAGATATTATTTTATAGAAACCAAAGGCAGGCTTTGTCATGTTATTTTTCCAATATTTTTAAAGGAAGATGCATATGAAAAGAAGTATAGTTGGGTGGGAAAGGCTTTCCACTCCACAAAAATTCTGGGATCTAAAAAATTTTCCTATTCCACATAAGGAAGAAATTGAACTCTTTCGAAATTTTCCATGAAGAAAGCCACAGAGAGACCACCCCAGGATAGCTAATAAAGTCGTTGTTAGGACATTTACTTGGGAAATGGGAGACTTAGGGTCAAACTCTTGCCTGACAGATGAGGGACATTGACCTGAATATTCCTCTTCCTAATGAAACACCCTAATTACAAGACATCGGAGTATAGTGATACGAGGTTTGCTGCCTGTTTCTCTGTTTTTCATTTAGACCAGAAGTTTGAGTTTGGACCAGAAACATCATGTTAACTAAAATTTTGTCAAAACTGATAATGTTTCTGAACAAGCTTTGCTCTTAAGAAACTGGCATTTTGAAACACAGCTGTCCCTGATCAGCTCTTATTGTACGTTGTAAGCCAGTGGTTTTATGGCCAAGATCTATGGATTACTGCATTATTCACAAGTGGTAAAGCCATGCATAAATTAGGCCTCTAATTCCAATTAAGTGCAAATTCTGTGTATCCTATGAGTTATGTCCTGGACTGTAGTACATTCTAACACAGTATGCCAATAATACAAAGAGGAATGAAGGTAACTTAAGACATATTATCTTAACAACTGTTTTAGTAAAATAGTACATGTATAACTAGGCAAATTCTATCATCTTCTTAGATTTAATACAAATGATTAAGAACTGGATAGAAATGACTAGAAGTAGGTTTGTGGACAGAAACAGATATTTTTGCTGTCATTAAACATAGTGTAGTGGCAGAGTTTTTCCTCAAAGGCTCTCATTTTACCAACTCCCTGGGTCTTCGAACTCCTTCCCATTTTAACCTAAAACCTAACAACGACCACTTTTCATCCATGCCAGCTTAACGCCAGCCCCAGTGCAGCATGTGATGTATACCCCTTTTCAGGGGACGGGGGCTGAGGAAGCAGATTTCATGACGGACACTGTGTTCACCCACTCTAAAGCCGGGAGTCAACCAGAGGCCAACTGCATGTCAACGCGGTGCAGTTTTCAGCAGCACTTCTCGCCTTCTGAGACAACTCATTATTCACCTCTCCGACTGATGTCCTTTGCTGCCAGCATTCCAGAAAGTCTTTACAGCATGTCTCTTTACCAAAGTCTTTACTGAAATTCTTACTAGGACAAGTCACTTAAAAAAAAAAAAAAAAGTTAAATGAAAGCTGCTCAAGCTGTTTTACAGCAGATACTACACTTGATTAATAGCGTTAAAATCAGGGAAAAGCGTATCACAGCCTCGACTCTGAACTTTGCCTCTTAATTTTTTAATGAGTGTACTGTAGTGTCATTCTGAATGAATTGGTATTTTTATTTAAGCATACTGAAAGTAAGGTTTAATAGAAATACAGATGAATAAACTAAAAAAAGGTAATTTGTATTTATTCAGAGCAGGCCTTTTTTGCAGATAGCACTTTGTTTAAAATGACTTCTTTTTCCACTCAATATATAATCTATTTAAAGATTAGTTTGATGGCATAAAACTGCAGACATGACAACACACTAAATATTTGTATGCTCTTTTGCATTTTTAAGGTTTTCTCCAAACTACAGCTGATGAGTTTTGCTTTTACTATGCAAGAAAAGATGGTGGTGTATGCTTTCCAGATTTTCCAAGAAAACAAGTGCGAGGGCCAGCTTCTAACTCCCTGGACCACATGGAAGAATATGACAAAGAGGAAGAGATCAGCAGGTTCATAAAGATAAATGCTGTTTAATCTGAAAAAAACCCCTAGCAAAGCCTGTGGTTTTCACAGTGAAACAGCTCAGTGTGTGCTTATGCTCAGCAGCTGTGTTTTCCAGATGTTACTGTTGCTGCTGCTAGTGTACGTCAAAAGAGAAAGTTGCATTAGCTTCAATATTTCAGTACCATTTGATATTTGTGTTGCTGAAAAGGTGTTAGAATCCTGGTTTGATCCACCCTGTGGATCTTGGTCATGGTCCATCCTGTGGATCATACATAGTTCTAGGAAGTCATTTCTACCTGAATTTAATATTATTAAATAACTACAATAAGTTTATTAGTAAAATACTTATTTCATTCATGTATTTTTCATTGTGAAAATAATTAGCTTGTCCCATCATAAGTCATTATTTTAAAATGGGGTTTAGAAGCCAGATTGTCAAATTGCTAGAATTTACTGTTTATTGCACAGTAGAAATTTTGCATTTATAAATTGTTTTCTCTTTTTTTACCAAAATTTTTCTCTCCTATTCCTCTGCATTTCAGGTCTAAGATGAATTAATTTTCTCTTTCTTGTATACAAATCAAATTTTGCTCAAGTGAACTTCAAACTAACCTTCAGTATTATCTGCTTGCATACATTCAAGCAAATAATTTATTCTGGATTGTATAACTGTGTTTTTAACATCACTGCAGAACGATCATTTTATCTTTTAGGGACATTGTTGTGTCATGGTTATGAGAAAAAAGAAATTTCTCGCTATTTTTTAAATTTTTTTTTAGAAAGCACAAGCACAATTGCTTCTGTATTCAGGAGGTTGTGAGTGGACTAAGGCAGCCTGTTGGAGCAGTACATTGTGGGGATGGATCCCATCGCCTCTTTATTCTTGAGAAAGAAGGATATGTGAAGATTTTCAGTCCTGAAGGAGACATACTCAAGGAACCTTTTTTGGATATACACAAGCTTGTTCAAAGTGGAATAAAGGTTGGATTTTTCACTTATCTCTATCTCCTTATATTTTAGCCTGTATATGAGGAAAAAAGTGAAGAAACGTTTTTCAGAAATGATTTTAATTAAAATCATTTAAAAAAGAGTAATGACAGCAGACGCTACAGTTCTATCTGGCAAAGTGGTGAAAACTTCCTTGTTTCAGGAAGGGAAAGCATAGCGTCTTATAATTGTCATCGCATTTTTCTCTTTCCCTTCATTTTTTCCTCACTTTAAATGCAGAAGGAACTATCCAACACCCGCATCCCATGGCATTATCTTTGTATTTTCATCCTTTGGGGTCATTGCCGTCCCGTTGAATTCAGCCGAGTTTTGCTGTGATTCCAGCGGGAGCGAGTTTGGCTCAGGGCCTCCCCTGACCCATGGGTGCTCAGTGATGCTCCAGAAGCTGGACACGGCGGGGCCTGGGAGTGCTGGGGGACCTTCGGGAGAGGGGCAGCGGTGCTCACTCCCTCTTGGCTCAACCTCAGATGTGGCACAAGCTGCCCTTGGAGGGAGGCTGCTTTAAAACGGCCTGTATTTGAGATGCGTGGAAAAAGTGACTGACCCTCTAAATTTAGGCACGTGGGTGGGTTGGTACAAAACAGCTGTCGTTGTGTTTAATGGGAAGGGTTTCATGGTCAGGGGAGTGAACGGGCAATGGTGGGAATACATTGGAGGGTGGAGGTAAGAAATTGTAGCTAGGTATGGGGTAAGTACTACTAGAAAACTCGTTAAGTCTATTGGAGGTTATTTCACTCTGGAAATGTTTCAAGCGTTGTTCCACATTCTTTCTTGTCACATTTTAGAGTGCTAATGAAAGTAAAATCCAGATATGTAACGCAAATTTAAACTGCAATTAGATTTTGTCTAGAACAGTCAGGACTATATATCATAAAGCCTTAAAGTATATTGACATACTCTTGACAAAGTAATCTTAAATAATAATTGTGACAAACTACATCAGTGATTTAAAATGCATAGCACATGTTAACTCATCATTTTGTGTTTCAGCTATAAGGGAAATAAGCCAATTTAAGACAGTCTTTTCTGAGAGGATTTCTCAGAGGTTTCTGGTTTGTGTTGAAAGAGAGAGAGAAATGAAATGTGACACCTTTTTCAGGAAAAGAACCAATTTATATGATTCTGTGATTTCCTGAACACCTCCATTTCTGCCTCTGTATGTAACCATTATGTTCAAGATACCAAAACATAAAAGACTTATCAGGGGTATTTTTGAACATCAACATAAGGCTGTTTCATATTTGTTAACTGAAGATTCTGATAGTTTTAACTTGTGAAAAACTGACACTGAAACTTTTCACGGAACTGCTATCGGTCCCAAACAAACCTTCCTCGAGGAAACTTTTATAGCTGGAACTTAGAGGCAAGGCTAAATGGAAAACTGATTTTTCCATGCCTCCGAATAGGCAATAGCCTGTCGATAAGACTCAACAGCTACCTTCAGACTCAGATTCAACTTTTAGTTCTGTTTTAAATCAGTGACCTGATGTTTTTAGTCTTCACTACCCTAACCATCATATAATACTCTAAACTCTGTTTCAACTATAACATTTTGTATAAATAATTTGATGTTCTCTAAGCTAGAAAGTCTAATTGAATTCCCTGAGACAACAGTTCAGTGACTGGGGATAATTGTATTGCAGTATTTAATGCAGGCTGCCAAAAACGGAGGCTTTAAGTACTTCATAGGTAAGGAGAAAGGGAATGTGCCTAGAAGCAATTCTCCAGCCCTTAAACAGAAAGGGAAAAGTACAAGAATTTGAGGAATGAGTACATTATATAAAATAATAAATTAATAGAATAAAATAAACCCCACATAATCCAAATGGTGGTTTTAAAACAAGGGTTCTTAAACATTTTTGTGTTTATCCCCTGCAGTCTCATTCTTATAATCATTGTCCATGGCCCTTTACCTACAAGGATGCAACATCACTGTGACAACGGTAGCAATTATTCCATCAAAATACTACTCGAAGGGTATTTGATTTTACTTACCTGTTATATGCTTTAAAACTAGAAATCAGTAATGGAGAATACTACATGGATAGACAATTTTCCAGCAGGCAGTGCAGATAGTGTACAGGCAGCAATTAAAAAAACCCAATGATCTAAAATACCGCACCCACATGCAAAGTGTGAGAATCACTGAATGTGTCCTCTGTGCCTACTCAAGAAATGCTTATAGTGTAAGGTGGATTAATTTCTATGAATACATTTTGCTTGACATGCCAGATTGTTTTCATACAATGGTGTAAGTGAAAAAGTAAAATGAAATCAGTGAATGTTTAGTCATCCGTGATCAAACTTAGGCCCACATGTTCCAGTGAAGTGTTTTGCCAAGGTAACATGTTACCTTGTTTGAGTTCTGTGTTCATTTACACAGACTCATGATATAATGTTATTCTTGAATTAACATACTGACTCTTCATTGAAGTAAACAAAAACTGTTCACCTCTTTTCCAACCTTGGAGCAACAGTAGCAAGCAAAGGCAAACCATTCTTTTTCCGAAAAATAAGTGTGAAAATTTTTTCTCTTATACCCAAGTGTCTGAAAATAGTTTCTGTTAGTTTTTTGTCTGTATCTGAAATACAAACAAATACTTAACTCTAGTGACAATAGTAAAAATATTTTTTCAAACTTTTATAGATATATGCTGTATCCAGTAAATAACAATAATAGTAATGATTATGCAGCTGTGGTTGAATGAAAGGTAATTTAAATTGATGCCTCTGAAAAGCATTTTGGACAGCTATATCAATAAGATATTTTTAATGTTGATAGATGGAGTAAAATAGTGGTTGTTGATTTTATCTTCTTTTTCTAATGTAAAGAGGAAATTTAGAAGTGATGAAATCGTTATATTGTCACAAAGCAGCAAATCTGTTGCATAATGATTTTCCAAAGAATATACTTAAAACTACCGTGAGGCTTATATAACCAGGAAACAGAAATTACTTATTTCCTTCATAAAAATAACCCTGGACTTTAGTTCTGATCTCACTAACATCATTTCGTTCATCACAGCACTGGCAGTCAGATGAGGAGGAAAGCAATATACAAAACCAGAGGAAGAGAGGTGACTGCATTATATAGCAATCAACCATGATATACCCTCGTAAAAAGATGCTGGTTGGTTCTTCTAATGGCACTAATGGTCCCTGTGTTGATGAAATTCATTTGGAGCCCCTAACGTTGCTGTGAGTGAGCTTGTAGGGCTTCTTCACTGGTCCTGCTAACCTCAGCACATAAAGAGGATTATTTGCAGTTCCTTCTTGTTGGTCACTCCTGTGAAGGTCTGTGGATATAAATGGAAATTAAGTAAGAAGCATGGTACAACCTGATGCATATGTTTTATTGGTCCATTGGCTTTTAATGTTCATTGAAGTCATTGAGATCTCTGCTTGAAAATTGTTGCTGCAGTAAAATCTCCTGACAGTTGTATGATTTAGTTTTAAGGAGTTCAAATGAAAGAGAAGTGATAATTTTATATGTTGCCAGTATCTCAGAAGGAATTAGCATAAGCATGTAGAAGTATTTCACAACAGAGAGAGATGCCATGAATGGATGATGGTAGCTTGTGCTTCCTGGAGGCCCTACTCAAGAGAAAATTAGATGCAGGATTCCTGAAGATTAAAAAAAAAAAAAAAAAGAAGAAGAAGAAGAAGAAAAAGCTCTGAAGAGCTTAAGAAACAATTTTTCTCTGCATATCTCCCAATTTCTAATCCTCTTTGATAGCACAGTTAGCAGGAATACTTTTTTGATCTTCTCTTTTTCAACTTGGTTGTCGGAAGCCATGAATTGGTCTTGATGTAGAAGTTGCTAATTCAACATCTGTGTCCCTCTCCAATGAATTTTATGTCACACTGTCCACATATGTATTGTAGTATGTGTGGATAGATTGGGCACTTGGCCAAGTCCCTCCTGTCAGCCTTTTCTTCCCTATCTCAAGAATGTGGTGAAAAGAAGGAAGCTGTGCACCTCAGTCTTGCCTCAAAGTTAAGGACATGAGTGAGACATGCACCTCTAGCTCGAATCGAGGACATGCACCTGGGCTCAACTAGTTAGGAATATCTAGCCCAGTGTAGTGCAGAAAATGCTGATTCCATCACCTGTGCCCATTAATATTACAAAGTACCCTGAGTATGTGGTATGTATGCAGAAGAAAAGAATAAGCATTTACCAGAAAAAAGCCCTAACAGTCCTCTTCCCTGTTGTCCATTATGTTGTGGTGAAGAGAGTTGTTAGTTACAGAGCAACATTTTATGGTTGTTCCTTCAAAGTTATGTAGCAAAGACAATTTTTAAATGAAAATATTAGTACTTGTTTTTTCTTTCGAACTGATTTTCACTACTAATACTTTCTTTTAGTTTTAAACTATTGCCAAGTAGAAGAGAGGCGGAAAGTTTGAATGAGAAGCTATTGAACTAACAATGGTAATATTTTGATTTCACTAGCGTTTAAGGAGACCTTAATCTATTATCAAGAAAAAATACTCCTGATGTATCTGAATCTATTGTCAAAAAGTTAGGCAAAATAATTAAATAATTTAAAAGTATCAGGCAAATAGGATTTTACCTCATAATGCACTCAGCAGAAAAAAAAAAAAGGATCAAAACATTCTAAATACTTAAATTTAATGATTTATTGAGATGTAGCAGTGCTGAATATATTATTATTACAAGATCAGTTATTATTATTATATTATTATTACAAGTTAGATTGTATCTAACTTTTAAGGAAAAATACTGAATGCTGTAGCAGTTCTCTGAATTTCCTTACTCCTGCGACTGTATTTTATCTTATTAACTGTATTATTTCCTAAGATTTGGAAACCTTTAGATAAGTAGCAGCCACCATAAAATGTAGCACAACCTATTACATCAATTTTCACTCACTCTCTTGTCTCCTGAGCCCAATAACATGAATTGGTCTAAAATATATTGGTCTAAAATGTATTGCTCAGAAGGGAAGG